CTGTCTTTGTGTTTCCATCAAGTCTGAATTTTTACTTGGATGACCCAGCCAGCTTGAAGCAAGTGGTCACTCTCTACAACCCATATGATATTGGCATCACATTCAAAGGTATGTATTTTGCCATGATGTGATGCAATTTGTTGCACCACTGCTTATATTATTAGTATTAATACACACATGATTACATATTTAACTTATAGAACTAAAGCACCACATCATATGTGTCGTGAATTGCTGTGTCAAGCAGCCTGCATTAACATTCACATTTTCACTGGGCAAAGTGAGTACAACTATTACTAAGCATGTGAGCCTCTTCGCCGCCTACCTTCGCCTGCACCGCTTGCCGCCGTGCTCCGCAGTGTACGCCAACCAGCCGGCCAAGTACAAGGTGGTGGACCCGGTGGGCTCCATCAAGGCCAAGTGCTGCCTGGACATCGTGGTGCGCCACACCAGCCCCAGCGTGCAGTCGGTCAACGTCACCGACAAGTTCCGCGTGGACATCGTCGAGTTTGGCCACAAGGAGGTGAGCACACGCCCGGCGCTGCTGGTCGAGTTTGGCCACAAGGTGAGCTCGCGCCCAGTGCTGCTGGTCGAGCTTGGCCACGAGGAGTTGAGCACGCGCCCAACGCTGCTGGTCGTGTTTGACCACAAGAAGGTGAGTGCGCGCCCAGCGCTGCTGGCCGAGTTTGGCCAAAAGGAGGTGAGCGCGCGCCCAGCGCTGTTGGTTGAGTTTGGCCGCAAGGAGGTGAGCGAGCGCGGCGCGTCATTGACGGCGTTTATACTGTGTCTCGTTGCCGCGCAGCCAGACACGGGCCTGGTGAGGATGCCTGTGGAGAAAAGAAGGAAGATTGAGTGGTAGTTTTTGCTGTTTGGCTTCATGGTACTTACCCGGCCGATGTTCACGAACTTGCTGTCGTAATTGGTCCGCGCAGTTTCCCTGTCTGGCCTTTGTACTGGTGCACGCTGTTTATCGCCCAGTCCTTCGGGGTTGATGATGTGTGGGGCGCTGCAGTCTGCACCTCTGCGCCTCCGGGGCTAGGCTCCGGAGACGTAGAGGTCACAGACTCGGCACTGGTGCGACCGTGAATGTCGCTGTCCGCCTTCCTAATGCCGTGGCCGCCTCCGCAGCTGATCGGCCGGACTTACCTGCCGTCCACGCTGCTGCCGGGCCGACCACCGGTCGAGGAACACGAGGAGCTGGAGCAGGAGCGCGAGGGCTTCCACTCGGTGGTGCAGGAGCGTAGGGGCGCCGACACCAGGCCGGCTCGCGAGCCGCCAGGTGAGCCGACGGCGGGTCAGCTCAGGGGAGGGGAGATCTGGTGATCGGGTCTGGGAGAACTCTCCTGTTCTCTGCTGAAAGGAAGTGATTTACGCGAAGCATTTTGTTTGTTTTACCAGTCATGAATAGTTAAGCTGAAAGTACGAAAGTAAGTTGTCATTCATGTTCATGCATGTGCTTTGTTGTCCCGCTGTTGTCTGTTTTGTTGTCCCGCTGTTGTCATGCATGTGCTTTGTTGTCTGTTGTCCCGCTTCGTTTCATGAAGCCGGTAGGCGAGCGGAAGAAGGGAGCCAATCTGGTGACCGCTGTCGCTGTTCGATAGAGCCTCCCCCGAAAAAGTTATCTCACCTACGATCGCGAGACTTCGCTCTTGCCCACAAGGAGCATGCACCACGGGCACTTTGCCAACTCACAAACGTGTTATTACAGAAGTGCGAGCCATGTGAGGGGGGGGGGACGTCTGATGGTGTGCGGGCTGGGCGCACCGTTCGCCGTCTAAATGTCTTATCGCCCGGCGCCGGCAGGCGGGGTACGGTCTGGGCCAGGTGAGCCAGCACCACTGCCTGGTGGTGGCGGCGGCGCTGGTCTGCATCGGCGCCCTGCTGCTGCCGACGGCCGGCGAGACGGCGCCCTCGCTCGTGCCGCCGCAGCTGCACATCAGCTCTCAGGTGAAGCTGGCCTTCGCCTACGGCCTGGGCCTGCTGACCATGGCGCTGCTGCGACCCGCCTGATGGCCCGGCCGGCGGCGAGCGGCGTCCGGTGCCGGCGCGGCGCCGATGGTGCAACCGGGAAACGGCGTCCGGCGGCGGACCGGGCCGGCTGAGGACGAGCGCTGGCCAGGGCTAGCGCAGTTGAAGAGCTCGGTGGCGACGGGGTCGGTAGCCGTGTACGGTGGCAGGGGTGTCAGGCGGTGGAGGGGTGGCGCCGCGCGCCCGCCGAAAACGGCGGCGTCGGGGTCGGAGGCGGGACGCTGAATGTAAAATAGATTGTCTCAATCACAAGAGGAGACGAGGAGCGGTAGGCGGATCTCGTAACCTGGATTGCTGGGGACGACGGACGGGGAGGCGACGGCTGCTGATGGGGGCCGCCGGGCCCTCTCGCCCGCCCCTAGAATGCTCTCACACTTCTCACGGACCACGGCCATGAGCGGTGAGCACGCGGCTGCGTGCATTACCGGGGACAAGTAGCGTCGGCGGCATGCCTTAAACCACAGCAGACGGAGTTTCGTCAGGGACTGGGCCGACGGCCGAGCCTTGCGCGCTTGCGTGTGCGTCGGTGTATTTATGGATGCGTGTAAATGGCGTGTTAGAGCTGTGACGATATGCGCGATATTCTCCGGTCGGGATGTGCACATACCTGGTCTCATGCGGCTCGGGCCGGAGGCCCATGTGAATACTTCAGCGCTCGGCGGAGCTGGCCGACTGATGCTGTCGGTGACAGATGACAGCAGATGGTGAGCGCGGCCTTCTACGTTGCACCACGCGGCCTCCGGCATGCACGAGGATGGCGCGCTTCTGTGACGAATTGTGTCTCAGCTGTAGACATCGTAGCTGTCCAGCTTCGCTTCACGGGCTCGGAGGCGAGGCGGCCATGTAATTCGTAGGTGATACGCAATATGCATGTATTGCAATACTGCGCGGATACCTCCGCGCAGTAGGATGGCGTTCCGGGTGCGATGCTGTCGACGGACCTTTGCCGCCCGCGCTAGCCTTGGCGGACAGACTTGGCGGTCTCAGCCTCGCGCGACCACCGATGGTTTAGGGGCCAAGTAGGACGTCCGTGGCTAGAGGTGGGAGGAGCGCGAGGGGTGCCGCGTCCGACTATGCTGTGATACCGCCCGGCCGTGCCCATACCTCATCTCGCAGCAGCTGGCTCTCTCAGTGACGTCAGGCCTCTGACGTCACTGGTGTATCAGGTGCGGAAGCACGCTTTCGCTTGAATCTGTCATGTAGGTGGCCAGTGTACATGTATTTTATATGACCGCTTTAGTTAAATACATTTATCTTGATGTGCGCTTTCAAACGTGTGCGTGTGGTCCTGTCAACGTTCTGAAGGGAGAGCATGAACCATGCGGACGTCAGCAACGTACACTGCTCGTGAAATATGCTGAGTTCGTCACCGCCCACACGTGTACGCACATGAACAAGATGTATTTTTGCTCCTCACAAGATATTTCCAGCACCTTTCAGTTCGACTATGCCGCGTGCCTATTTGCCCTTCCTGGCGAACCAGCTCTTCTTCCTGCGGCGCTTGGCGCTGGCAGCCTGCTTGGGCTTGTGGCTCGGGGCCGCGGCGGCGACCGCTTTCCGCTTGTCCGGGCGACTCCCGGCGTCGCCGTCCTGCGGCGGTGGCGCCACCGTCGCCTCGACCGGCGCCGGACCGCCGTCTTCGGGGTCCGGCCCCGGGGCGGCCGTTCCCGCCTTGGCCACCTGCAGCGCCGACACTGCCGGCACGGAGGCGGGAGACGTGTCCAGCGGCGCGTCGCAGCCGGTTCACACGCTGATGTGCGTCAGCTGACGCCGCGTGGGTGGGGCGCGACGGCGGAGCTGAGAGGCAGCCGGGCGCCAGTCGGCGGCGGCGTCAGGGACAGACCACTGGTGTCAGTAGACAGTAGCTTAGAGGAACACTACGGCGAGGTCCGTACGCGTACTGATCACAACACAGGAAACCTCCAGCCTCGTACTGACAAAATGTAGGCTCATGCGACTTAAAAGATCTGTCGTCGATGTCTGATAAACAGCGATCCCCGTTTTTTACACGCGTTGGTGTACACGTGACGCAAAACAAACCCTGCCGATCCTGGAGGGCGGTGTTCTTCCGACGACCACCTCCCCCCTCCCCCTCCTCCCCCCCCCCACACGATACGAGGTTACCCAGCGGCACCACAACCCCCCCCCCCCCCACACACACACTGCTGGGGCCAGCGGGTGAGCTGATGGCTGGTGCGGGTGAGCTGATCTGGTGAGCTGGTCGGCCGCCGAGCCTCGGACCACCGCCTGGCTCCGCTACCCCTCGGACCACCGTCTGGCTCGGCTGCCCCTCGGACCACCGCCTGGCTTGGCCGCCTAGCCTCGGACCACCGCCTGGCTTCGACTTACTTTCCGGCGTAAGCCCATGCATGGGGCGGCGGTGGTGGCGGCGACTCACCGTTCCTGCGCGGCACCTGCAGCCGGCCGTGCCTGGTGAAGGGCATCCAGACCTGCGGCCGGCGCGCCAGCCAGCTCGCGCAGCTGGGCGCGGCGCGCCTTCACCTCGGCCTGCAGTCGGCGCTCGGCGTCCTCGTCCCGCTCCGGTCTGCGGCGTCAGGCGCCGTCAGCGGCCGGCCGGCCAGCCAGTCAGCCGGCGGGCGGGCACCACCTCGCCCGCTGGCACCGCCAGAAGAACGGCACAGGCAAGCAAAGCATCCCACACACTAGGACAGGGGCACTACCTCACCCACCCGTACTGCCAGAAAGACGGCACAGGCGGGCCATAGCATCCCACACACTAGGACAGGAGCACCACCTCACCCACCCGTACCGCCAGAAGAACGGCATAGCGGGCCGAGCCCACACTCGGACAAGGGGAGCGACAACAGGCACTGACGCCACCCCGCGGTGACGGACCGGCGCACCCAGAGATCGGTCGACAGCATGCACGCCATTCAATATATTCTTGTAGACCAACGCCTAACGAAAGCAGGCATACAGGGGGAGCATCCTCTTCCGTCCAAATGGTTCCAGCTATGCCTGATAACGCCGCTTTACCTCCCCGGCCAGGCTGCAGCCGCCCGCGCGGCCGCCCCACTCCCTCCCCGGCCCTGCTCCGCCGCCCGCCCGCTCCCTCCCGGCCCGGCTGCCGCCGCCCGCGCGGCCGCCCCACTCCTCCCCGGCCCGGCTCCCGCCCGCCCACCCGCTCCCTCCCCGGCCCGGTTCCCCCCGCCCGCCCCGCTCCCTCCTCGGCCTCACAGCAGGTCTGTGTCCAGCTCGATGTCCATGTCCCGCGCGGCGCGCTCCTGCCAGCTGCGGCTGCCGGCCGTCGCGCCGCTGCCGGTGCTCGGCCAGGTTGATGGCTCGCGCCAGCGTCACGTGCGCGTTCAGCGCGCGCAGCACGTCGCCGTCCACGCTGAATGGCGGCAGGTCGGCGTCTGCGAGTGTGGAGCGCGGGTCAGAGGCGCGGCGGCTCCGGGGACCGGCAGGGGGGCAGGCACAACGAAAGGTGTGGAGTAGCTGTGTTGAACACGACCGCCGGGCTCATACGGCGAGCAAGACTGGACCGGGCCAGGTCACGGCACGGGCATGTCACCGCGGGGAGGTTCGGCGCCGACCTGGTTCGGCCTGGTGGTAACAACACTGCCGAGTCCGCTAACATCAGTCACTATCGGACACCGACGGGACAACAGGATCACCGTGGGGGCAACGCAGCACGGTACTATGCCGATAACGAGCCTGACGCCGTCCAGGTCCGGACCAGGTACGCGCCGAAGACAGTGGTCTGGCTGGGGGAGGGGGGGGGGGGGCTGGAGCACAGCTGACCTCTGACCGGGGGAAGACAGTGGCCTGGCTGGGGGGGGGGGGGCGCCGCTAACCTCTGACCGGGGAAGGACAGTGGACTGGCCCTGGCTGGGGGGGGGGGGGGGGGGGAGGAGGAGCACAGCTGACCTCTGACCAGGGGAAGACAGTGGCCTGGCTGGGGGGGGGGGGGGGGGAGCGCCACTGACCTCTGACCGGACGAGGACGGCCTGGGCCGCTGGGCCAGGCCGTCCTCACAACAAACCACTGACCTCTGTGCAGCTGGCGAAGTAGCCCGCGGTAGGCGGCCATCTCTGCCGGCTCCACCAGCATCACGCTCAAGCCCTCGGCGCGCGCCCGCGCCGTCCGGCCGCTCCGGTGCACGTACGCCTGCCGCGTCAGGTCACGGTCACGGTCATGGCCACAGGCGAGCCAGCAGCTTCTTCTGGAAACTCGCCTCAAAGCACAAACACAGGAGGGCCAAGAGGTTGAAAAACGAAAGAAAGTGATATATTCAACTAACCATGCGTTGCAGAACAATGCAGCTATAGCTACATTTAAAAGAGCGGCCAGCGATTGAATCACATAATTGTTCCGAATGCTTGAAAACCCCATACGTCCATTCAGCTTGCCTCCTGCGCTTGAATGCACCCAAAATCCACTGAGCCTGCGACACTAAACAGTAACTGGTTGGCACCGCCAACGCGACATGCACAAAACGCACCAAACCCGCACAGCACGGGGGGGGGGGGGGGTCTGGAGCCGATTCGACCGACCGCTGACGCCGGCCGGCGCCTCACGTACGTCGGTGGTGCGCGGCACCTGGTAGTGGATCACGTGTTGCACGCCCGGCACGTCCAGGCCGCGCGCCGCCACGTCCGTGGCCACGAGCAGCGCCGCCGGTCGTGCCTGGAAGCGCTGCAGGTTCTTGAGCCGCTGTCGCTGCTGCATGTTGGCGTGCAGCACCAGCGGCGCCATGTCCAGCAGCGTGAAGAGCCGACCCAGCCGGGTCACGCAGTCGATGCTGCGGTGGGGAGGGGGCACAGCGGGGTCAAGAGCTGAGCCAGCTGGGTAACGCAGTCGATGCTGCGGTGAGGAGGGGGCACAGCGGGGTCAAGAGCTGAGCCAGCTGGGTGACGCAGTCGATGCTGCGGTGGGGAGGGGGCCCAGCGAGGCAGAGCTGACTTAGCCGGGTCACGCAGTCGATGCTGCGGTGGGGAGGGGGGGGGGGGGGGGCACAGCGGAGTGAGGAGCCACCCCGGGAGTGTTGATAGCTATATAACTTGCGTAATTCGCGCGAAGTCGCAAAGGAATGCTAAGTGCATATGGAATCTGAAATCCCTCTCCTCTCCGCAGACAGAAAACGCCGAGTGGGATAAGATTACCTACGACATGACAATCGCATGACACCGTATTAGTCATTGGGGCTTTACGACGCACCCAGAGGTTATATGGCGTCGCTTGTCTCTCAACACGACAAAAATGGAGGACACTTTACCCAAATGCCGACGACACCCCTAGCGACATAGTTCCGTACCCCTTTCCAGGAGGAGGGGGGGGGGGGGGGGCCAGGGGCTGGCCGGGCCGCCATCGGCCGGGGCCCAGCATCTGCACCTCACCTGTTACAGAAGACCAGCGTCCGGCCCGGGTGCTGAAGGGCGAAGTAGTACAGCAGCTCGTCCTTCTCCGGGATCGAGCACGAGACGGCCATCTCGGTCAGAGAGGCGGCCGTTCCCAGGGCACGGGTGATGTCCACCACCTGGCATGTCAGGTCAGGTCAGGTCAGGTCAGCATGGAGAGGCGGCCGTTCCCAGGTCACAGATAATGTCCACCACTCGGCATGTCAGGTCGGGTCAGGTCAGCATGGAGAGGCGGCCGTTCCTAGGTCACTGGTCATGTACACCACCTGACATGTCAGGTCAGGTCAGGTCAGCATGGATAGGCCAACCCCAGGTCACGGGCGATATACTGTTACCACTTGTGCGCATCGTGGTTCAATCAATGCTGTCACTCTGATGGCAGCTTGCACAGCCGGGAAAATTAACTATGGCAATCATAACACACAGGCGAGTGCGACCACTTACAGTCAAGCCATTCTAAGGGGCAGCGTGACTAGGTCTGCATCACTGGGTCTGCATCACTGTGTCTGCATGGCTGTGTCTGCATGGCTGTGCCTGCGTGACCGTGCGTGCGTGACCGTGCCGATGACCGTGTCTGCATGACTGTGTCTACGTGACCGTGGCGGTGACCGTGCCGACCTTTCTGTTGTTGGGCCGGATGCCGACCATGGAGGTGACGTGCTTCAGCTTCTGCTCGGGCGACATCTTCTGCAGCTGCCGGAGGTCGCGCCGCGTCGCCTCCTCGCCCAGTGTTAGCGTGGCCGAGAACACGAAGTTCTGCCGCTTCTCCGCCAGCTGGAACGGCACGCCCACCGAGTCACGGGCGGCTTCCACGGCACGCTGGCCAATCGAGAGAGTCTCAATACCGGGGTATCGTTTGGTGAGCCTCGTCGGCGAGCGGTCGGCAGGCTGGTGCTGCGGTGGACTCACGTCTTTGTCGGCGTTGATGCGCTCGAGAAGAAGGTGCAGCTGTTGGAAGTGGCCCTTCTCCAGCATGCGGTCCGTCTCGTCGACCACCAGGAACCTGCAGGAAATCAGAGTCGTTTCACTATGGTAGCCAAAGCGGCCTGGTCAGCAATGGTGTCACTTGGTACTGTCGGTTGTCTGTCTTTGGCGTTATTGGGAGTCCCATGCCCCAGAACACTCTGAAGTACGCCAATTTCGCCATAGGAACACAGAGGAGCTCATAATTCTGCAAACAGCCGCCCTCGCCCGACGACAGATTTTGGTTGAACGAATGTATTTACCAATATTTGCTCGCGTAGTGCGTAGTGGTGTCATCGATTACAAGCACTTACGACAAGGCAGGTGGTCACCAAGCACGAGCAGCGCCGCCTTCGTCGCGGGCCTTTGCATGCGAGCCCCGGGACCCCATTCGATGGGACACAGCACCGACTGCGAACCATGACCGGTGGCGTGGCCCCTCGCCAGAGCCAGCTCCAGCAGGGCTCAGAGTCCGGGGCGGAGGCGGCACGAGCACCGTCTGGCCTGTGCGCCCCGGCACCGGTCGGCCGCGGCGGTGGCGGCGGCGGTCAGCCGACGCACCTGAGGCGGCTCAGGGTCGAGAGGTACGGGTCGCCGGCCTCGACAAACTCCCAGAGCCGGCCCGGGGTGGCGACCACCACCTCCGGCCGGCGGGACAGCAGCCGCTGCTGCTTCTGCTCCGACATCCCGCCCACCACCGTCACCACCTGGTGACATGGGGAGAACGGCCAGGGTTACACGGTGGTCACCCCCTGACGAGAAGACCGGCCGGGGTCACACGGTAGCCACCCCCCTGACGAGGAGACCAGCCGGGGTCATACGGTGGTCACCCTCTGACGAGGAGACCATCCCGGGTCATACGGTGGTCATACCCCGACGAGGAGACCGGCCGGGGTCACACGGTGGTCACCCTCTGACGAGGAGACCATCCCGGGTCACACGGTGGTCACCCCCTGACGAGGAGACCGGCCGGGGTCACACGGTGGTCACTCCCTGACGAGGAGACCGGCCGGGGTCACACGGTGGTCACTCCCTGACGAGGAGACCGGCCGGGCTCACACTGCAGCCACAAACCACCTGGCGATGACTGCGGTTAAAAAGCGTCACCCAGCCATACGGTGCCACACCCCCGCGCGAGGACAGCGGCACTACAGCTGCGTGGCGGAGCACCAACGCTGTTGAAATAGGCGACCAATTACAGAAAATATCACGAGCTTACGAGCCATGAACGTCATAAATCAGAAATGAAACGGAAGTTGTTAAGTTTTGAGTTCAGAATTCTGGTAACGTAATGGCGATGTTTGAGAGACTGGCGTAATTGTACGCCCCTAAATTACACTATGCGTAAGAATAGCACAGCCAAAAAAGTGGTGTCGCGTAAAAATATGTGGTGCCCTATTGGCTAATGGTCCTACAAAAAAAAAAAACGACGGGCTGAAAGCTGATGTAAAATACCGACCTCCCGACATCGTCTTCACTGTGCCGCGGACCTGAAGGGGCAAACACGGCCGGCGGGATGCCACTGACCTTGATTCCCGTGTACTTGGCCACGGCCACCATGTGGTTCTTGACCTGGATGGCCAGCTCGCGGGTAGGGGCCAGCACCAGCGCCTTCGGTCCAATCGGGCCGCTCGTTTTTAGACTGCCGTCATCACTACCTTCATCCCCAGCATCATCATCAGCTCCAGAGTCTGAAACAGCGCCATCCACCAAACGCATCCTGTAAGGGTTAAGCAATAAGCATGCCAGTAGATGCCTGCCATCGATGGTCTGACATTGCACGTCCTTGTCTCGCGTTTCTGCACGCGCGGTCCTTCGCATCGCATATTTTCGCGTTGCATTTCCATGAAAACGCAAGGGTCACGATTCGTCACATGAAAGGAAAATAGATGCAAGACAAGTAAGACAAATAACTAAAAAAAAACGGCCAAACTGTGAAGCAAATAATCGTGTATTCCAAACTACGGGCAAGACAAAAAATACGTACCTGTTTTCCGTATGTGGTTAATCTGCGGACTTTGAGTACGAAATTTTCTGCATGTACGAAAGTTTCTGCATAAGGAATTACGATACGTGCACCTGTTAACACCCTTCTATGCCACAGAAAACACGACGCAGATGTCTGCAATGAGAAAAAGACGGCACGAGGTCTTGTCATGTAAAAGACAGAGGCTGAGGAGAGGCTAGCCAGTTTAAACACTCTCTGGCCCCTTATTTTGTAGCCAACTCCAACAAGCCTGAAAAACTGCGTGGTTCCTGGTCCCAATCTACGGTAATGACAACCACACGGGCAGCTCAGCCCCGGGCGGTATCTCCGGCCGTCAATGACCTTTCGCGTGCCTGACCCGCCCTCCCGTGCTGGAACCGACCTGCGGCGTCGGCCATTCTCCGGCGCTCCATCAGCACACCGTGCAGCACCGGCAGCGCGAAGGCCAGCGTCTTGCCGGAGCCGGTCTCGGCGGCGCCCACCAGGTCCATCCGGCCCCGGATGGCCGCCGGTAGGCACAGCCGCTGTCGGCAGACGGACGCCCTGAGACCGAAGCCGGTACAGAGCGCCGGGTGCATGGCCTCATAGGTCGGGGTCGGCTGCCAGCCCGTGCTCGCGTGAGTCAACACAGCGCACAACAGAGCCAACGCGGACAGCCACAAGCAGAACAAACGCGGACGGCCACAACAAGCAGAACCGACGCAGCCGGCCACAACAAGAAGAACCGACGCGAATGGCCACAAGCAGCGCCAACGCCCGCGACGGCCACAGCAGGCAATCCCGCAGTCAGTCCCACAACTTGTATTTGTCGCAACGAGGGCCACCCCGAGCCTGATTTTCATGTTGCAGTTTACAAGCCCTGCCATAATAAAAAGGGAGATATTTCACGAGTGATGATGATCTCTGCTGAAGATTCCCCAGCGCCTTTCACCAACACATCGTTGCAGTATTCAGAAGCTTAAGCAGCGGCCTCGCGCCGACATCTCACACCGGGTGCGCCGCTGGCGCCGGTGTGCCAGATCAGACAACAGCACGAGACGGCCGCCCCACCTGGATCTCGGTAGGCTGCTCGTAACCGAGGTCTGCCAGGCCGGCCAGCAGCACCGGCGGCACGTGCAGCACCTCCCAGTTGGAGACGTCCGTGTCACTGGCCGCGATTACGGCAGCCGGGTCGGCCTCAACAGCCGTCGACGTCGGCCCTGACGGCGCGCTCCGGGCCACCCTTCGCTTGCGCTTCTTCCTCGGTGGGGCAGGGAGCAAGGTCTCCTCTTGACCGTCATCTTCCTCGGCCACAGCGTCACGAACTCGCTTTTTGGACTTGAGTGTTTTCTTGGCAGAAGGTTTGACAGCTTTCTTGCATTGTTTGCTAGTTTTCAAGCTCTGGAAACATGCACCAACTGCTCAGGGAATATGAATTAGTGAGCTGGTTGACATGTTATCATGACTATGGCTTTGGGCCAGACACCTACCAACACTGGAACAAGTGAAGGGCAATTGGAACAGTATCATTTTAAAAGACTTACTATCAAAACAAAATCCAGTTATCTTCCCATACATACCTTGCTAATTGCAGTAGTTCCAGGTAGCTCTTCAAAAAGAGTTACTCCGCCAAAGTTATCCGCACCAGCCATGAAGTCGGCCAGAGAGACTGGCTTGGATGGCTTCCACATGGCTCACTTAGTAGTGACAGCTTTCAGATGTCTGAAAATGTTAAATGAACAGTGTACAGTAGCAGTGTTGGGCCAATAAAAACATATGCAGTGTTATTAATATGAAAACATTGGCAAATTCTGGGACATTGTCCCAGAATTTACCAATATTTGCTTACCTACTCAGCCAATGAGACAGATGTTGTCAACATCTGTCTCATTGGCTGAGTAAGTATGAGCATCTGTATTTAGGTGCTTGCTCTTTTATTTAACCTTGACATACATGGCCTGCAGCTGGTGTGGTGGTGGCAGCTTCACTAGAGGTCAGGTGATGTTGTAGAGGCATTGCAGTACATTAAAATTTTGCCACCAAATTCTGCCACTGAACTAGAATTGTGTGATTGGATGGTTGGGCTCTGGGCTCACTTAATCACTGCTTAAGGTGAGTTCTAATCCTAGAAATCCATCCATCCAAAACAACAAATACCACAGTAAAATCAGCTTCACAGTCCTCACACATGCATAACAAGGAGAATATTGCTCTTTGAAATGCATTAAATATTGTTATTTCTCCTTTGTTCGCAATGCAGCAGCTTTGATACGTAGTATCACTGTAATGTTCCTCTGAAGTCCCACAAATTGACTCAGATTTTTCCACACATCAAGGAAATGTTGAAACATAAATATGCCATGGCTGGCATGAGACACAAAATCACAAGAATCCAGAAAAGAGCCTGAAACTGTCCATATGGATAACAACATATGTGCATCAAGTTCCTGTGATAACACTATTCAGTAAAAATAAGTATCCACCTCTGCAACATCATGACATTAAGACAAATATGAACCCACTGGATGACTAAACCTCACACCAAGCTTTCACCTTATTCAAGCAAACCAAATTCAAACCCCAATTCACATGATTTGTCATCTTCATGTTACAATGATCAGTTCTACTTCTCTCTGCCTGATTGTTAGCAGCTCATCAGATGAGTTCCCTACAACACAATTTATCTGTATGGACTCTCCAGGGAACACAACACAGCAGGGTAGCTGAATCGGTGTGATATAAAAGCAATAATTTAGTTTCTAGACTATAAACTGAAATGGATTTGTTACACGCCGGAACACAATTTTGACCTGGTTCGACCTCGGCTCTGCGTTGTTCACCTGTTGGTGTAAGCCCTGCTACCCGTGCCGCTGCAAGTTTTTAAGTGTATCGCCTATATGCCATGCCCTGAATAATGTAACAACTTCTCACTTTACAATTTGCTCAGATTTTAGCGGTAAGCACTCACAATACCACCTCGTCCCCGATCCCACCGTTCCCACAGAACTAAAGCACCGGCTTGTCAACACGTGCAAGATGCGCATCATCGAATCGTCTCTCCTGCTCCATAAATGACTAAGATTGACTGCGGCCATATCGAATATCTTATCCGAACTGAGGTTGTAGGAAGAAAGCATTACAATACTGCAACGCGTAACCGAACGAAGCGTGACAATACGTCATTTAACAGTATTCATATGCATGTAAGGAGGATGGGACCACGTGGGTTTAATGTACCAACTGTGGACTATGGAACAACACAAAAGCATCGTTTTTGACCGGCGACTCCTGTTTGTTTTATATGACACTTCGACATCCTGTTACTGAACGCTGGAGGCCGTCTGGGTTGGAGACCGTGATGGAACAGTGTTTTGTACTCATAATCGTTAATGAAAGTGGCATCATCAGCAGTGGCATCTCTGACGGCGTGATACGGAGTGTCAGCGGCGGGAAGCGGGAAGCGGAAACGTTTTAGAAACATGTTTATAATCGCGCGTGGAGGGTGGGACCGTGTTTGACAGCACTGGCTGATGGCTATTGAATGCAACGACATATTGTGCTCTGCCGATGCGATCAATTTTGTGCGTGGCCTCTGACCGCGTTAAACAGATTGTGGGAGGGATTCTGGTGGGGTGGGGGATTGTCCAGCGTGTGGAAACTAAATAATTGCATCGTTTTAGGACACCTTTATAATCGAGTGAGGTGGGCGCGGCTGGCGCGATTATTTTTTCAGTGTTCTACATTTATATGGGGTTTTAGCTGAAATAGCCACATTGGAGGCCATTCGGTTCTGTTCATAATCCTGCCCTTCTTAACACGCGTCCGGGTGGCCGGCTGGATACCCTTCGCTTGGATGGCTTGGATACCATTTCAGGAACTAAGAGAGCTAGACACACCAAATTCACAGGGCGTGTTCACCCGCACGTAAACTCACTTAGGTCAAAGTTTAAGGCCCCTAGATCATGACCTTCGGGTCAAGTAGGCTCAAACAAGGTTAAATTCCAGGTTGGTCTCCAAAGTGCCCCAGAAACTAGATAACTGTTTCTAAGCAAAACGTCAAATGCTCATTTAAGATCTGGGACGTTGTTTGACCTTTTGAATGTCATACTGACCAAATTAATACAAGACTGCTCTGAGTTTTGCATTTGGATAAACGACAAAGATTACGCTAGGCAGTATGTTTCTAAAAACAAAACGTTGACCTGGGTCATTTCAGGTTAATGACCTATTCTGACCTCTAAGAAGTCCATGGAAGATGCAGAATGTGGTTCCTGCTATTAATAAAATTGAAATGAACACTAGAAGCTATCGCATACAGCAAGCCCTATAGTAATAAAGCAGACCGTTTTTGACCTTGCCCTAACCTACAATCTCAGAGATCTATGGCTTCGTCTAACACTCCGTTGTTGCATCAGATTGAACGATTCCCTTGAAATTTACGTCGCTGAAACCATTGGCTGACTTTGACCTGCCATAAATCAGCGACCTTACAAAGGTACGTCTAAATTTTTGACACCAAACGATCCGCTATTCAGTTGTCTACAGCTATCAAAAATGTTGCGCGACTGCACCGCGCTGTTCGTAAACCATTCGGAAAAACTTCGGGGGGGGGGGTTCAATTTGACCCCACCTGAACACGTGTTAAGACCTAAGTCTCTCTAGTTTCTGAGTTATACGCCCGCGAAAATGGAGAGAAACATGTGGAGGAGAGTATAGAGCTTTGCGAGCTATGACAGCTCACTCATTGGATTCACAGCTCAACCACTGATGTCATGACCTTTTTTAACGAGTCCATGTCACACATATGGTGAGATTTTGTCAGCGGTGCCTCAAAAGCTTCGGCCAGCTCTTTGACGTTCCTTTTCTCCGACAGGGAGCCATTCATGGCGTTTCCACTTGGCGTCGAGGATCCTAAAGCTCCCAGCGTACCCTGCCTGAAACAATAACAAGCTCATTCATTCCATTATTTCTAACGAAGTACCTTCGGGTGCCTTCGTAATTTTGTAAGTTTCTTCGTAGTTTTGTGACACATAGTTTAATCCGTGTCGAACATGTGCGTCCGTGATTTGGCGATTGATCACCATATCGGTTAAAAGAAGGTTTTGCAGAGTTGGATTAATAGCTGCATGATGACTTGATGGTACCCGAAATTCTTTCTTTTTAAATGTCTGCGATGAAATCATAGGAGGGTATTCCAGGACTCGATGTACAAACGCTCGCCGTTTTAATGTGTTCATGCTCATTTTTGCGTTTGCTTATCTAGGCCATAAGTAGTTCATCGGCAAAATCTTAACTGCGGAAGCAGCCCAGTTTAAAAAAAAAGAAGTAAATACACGATGCACACACAAGCAGGAAAGGTGGCCAGATACAGACACATACGCAACGCACAGTCTCACACACACACACACACACACACACACACACACACACACACACACACACACACACACACACACACACACACACACACACACACACACACACACACACACACACACACACCACACACACCACACCACACACACAAAACACACACACGCACACACACACACACACACACAACACGCACACATACACACGACACACACAACACGCACACACACACACACACACACACACACACACACACACACACACACACACACACACACACACACACACACACGCACACACACACACACACAAACCACAACGTCCATCAAAAAATGCTGCACGAGTGCCGTCTAACCTAAACAAATCAAATCGGAATGATGTTGCTTGCTTGAAAAAGTCAGTTGAGGAAGAAGGATGTAGGAAACGACTGCGGGTTTGACAAAAATGGGCAGACGTTTGACAAATCCATTTTTATCAGTGATGGGGCTGCCTACCGACGGGGGCTGCCTCAAACCCACCTCGAACGGTACGATTTAATTCACGATTTCCAAGCGCAAGTTCATGCTTGTGGTAAGAACTTAACACGCATGCACACACACACACACACACACACACACACACAACTAACCTAAACAAATCAAATCGGAATGATGTTGGCTTGAAAAAGTCAGTTGAGGAAGAAGGATGTAGGAAACGACTGCGGGTTTGACAAAAATGGGCAGACGTTTGACAAATCCATTTTTATCAGTGATGGGGCTGCCTACCGACGGGGGCTGCCTCAAACCCACCTCGAACGGTACGATTTAATTCACGATTTCCAAGCGCAAGTTCATGCTTGTGGTAAGAACTTAACACGCATGCATGTACCACGCCAGTGAGCGAGCTCTTATAGCTTCCTAGTACTGGAGAAATAGTGGCGTTCCCGCCAACTGCATAGCAGGTGCACGGTCCTTCTAGATCGGGCAGGTGCTGGTTATAGGGCGTGGGACCAGGTGGAGTTCGTTTCTGTTTTTCTATAGGAGAGTTGGTGATTTATCTAGTGTTCCAAGTGGGCTTCTCTGTTTGAGCGCGGCAGAGGTACACGTGATATTTGGGCAACGTGCTTTTATTGGAACAAAAGCAGAATAGCTTCTGCTGTTGTTTCGGTAAAGGCATGTTGCCGAGATATCACCGCATCTATATCTCCATTATCCCGGTTACTCTGCGAGGAGTTAGGTTATTACTACTGTCTTACATATGTCAATAATGTTCCTCGCAGATGCACTGAATAACTTACGTTCCTGGTACTGGGGAAAATAATGATGCGCGCGGCTGCGCATTTTTCATGACATTTTCCAGGGCTACCAAACGCCACAAAAACATCTAGGTTGACTGACGGCGCCTAATTCCTCGACATGACACTTTCACGGTGTATTACTGAAGATATGTATATATATATATATATATATATATATATATATATATATATAATATCTCACTGAGGATGAGACCGTGCGCGCACGATTCACAGCGCAGGCTCAGGGCCATCGAACGACACCGAAACATCGTGCATGAACCGACGGAAGCCATTTACATACAGTCGCCCGGCCGCTGCGTGCAGACAAGAATACGACAGAGTTGTTACTAGTTTGTTTTCTAATATCTAATCCGTGCGTGAAGAGAAGGACCGTGGGTGTTCGAAAACATTATTCTTATATCTAAATCGTGCGCGAAGAGTGGGACTGTGGGCGTTCGATAGCACTAGCTCACAAGTGTTGATGTACGCCTGCGCGCATTCGATGAAGGTATCCAGGAAATACATCCAAATGTACCCAAGAGGTGTTCAGCGCTGTCTTTCGCATAATCGTAACGCCTTGAGTTCGCGAAATAACACGATGGGCTTATGAAGTGCTGACTTTTCACTATTTTGACTGATTTGACTTGTCAAAGATGATCGTCACCATAATATGTTTGCACCTGTCAGATGCAGGTTGACGACAGCTTTCCAATGCTTTCCAATGCTTTCCAATGCTCTCCAATGCCACTTCCCTAGCGGTCCTGTCTCCACGGTTTTCGAGATCTGAAGTCCATAAGGCCCTCCCTGAAAGACTGAAGACGAACAAACTCCAGCAGGTCAAGGGTTGAGAACGTGGGACTGGCAGATATAATAAGATGTTGAACACGCGCTGAGGCACGGCACGTGCTGTGTGCCGATTCTGAACGGAGTCTTTGAATACGCCTGCCCTGCTTCATCAGTGGCCCGAGTAAGCGCTGTCGCTGTTACGTCACAATTACGGGCGGTGTTGATTACATTCGGCTCGTCCATTATTTGTCTTCACGGGGCTTCTGATCTACCACTGCGGCCTTTGAGCTCCTATTTTACTGCACAATCTGACACTTCGGCTTTGAGATTAGGCCTGAGTTCAGCGGACTCTTAAAACGAGTCAGGTCCGCTTATCTAATGTCCTGTGCTCGTCAACAAGCATCAGTGTGGCAGCCAGTATTGGCTGGGGTTTAAAACACGTGTACTGCGACGCCTAATATGTATAATATGATTATAATATAAGTAAGGTTAATACGTATAATATGATTGCCTGCTGCTTCCAAATCGCCCACAGATCGGACGTTCAAGAGACAGTGTACAATCACTGTACAATCAAGGTGCTCGCCAGATACCGCCCAGACACAGGTCTGAGATCGAGAGCCTGCGTCCTTGTTCGCGTTTGATTGCTGGTGTCGTCGAGTCTGAAACCGAGTCCTCAGCTGATCCGTCCTGCATTGATCCGTGCTGCATCTGAGTCCAAGCCCGACTTCACTAATTTTCACGGACCTGACCCCAAGTCCGGGCTCAAGTCTTTATATATTAAATAAGAGTCCGAATCATGTCTACCGAATCTGTTGGCGGAGCCCAAAAATAGGCATAACCTTACTTGGCCCCTTACCAAGTCAGTATTGGAATACTAATCATGGTGAAAGCAGGTGCTGATAGCTTTAAAAAAGCCAACGATGGCACTTAGCCCAAATTACTTTGGCTCAAAACCAATTCGACTTTACCAAACCAGACCCAACCAAGCCAAACCAAACTCGCTGAGATGAGGCTGACACACTCGACACTCGACACACACACACACACACACACACATGGGTCTGGTCGAACTCAGACCCGTGCCTGCTGTCAGCCCATGCAAACACGCCGCCGACCTTCTTTTTCTTCCAGCCGTCGGCGGCCCTGCTACACCGCAAGCGAGCATGATTCCGAACCAACGCGCGTCTGACCTGCTGGGGTGAGCAGCGACGCGGGACGACCGCGGAGATAGACTGCAGTCACTCACAGCTGATTGCCATCCCTCTGACGGGACCCAGAAAGCAAGGGTAAACAAGTGTCTGTCAGCGAAGTCGACAGACACATGACGGTGTGCCGTGCAGGCGAATGAAGCGCGCCGGCGCGGCGCTGTGCCCAGCGCACGCGGCGGCGAGGGAGGGCGGGCAGAGCTCGTTGTTTAGTTCAGTTAGACAGGTGATCGATCATGTGCACTGGGTTCAGTGAACAGGACATTGCAGGCTCGGCGCATGTTTCGGGATCTGAAAACGGAAGGCATGAACATGCTTTTGGAAAGCCTGAGCATTGCTGTCAAGGTTGTGTCTCATTGTGATGTTGAGTCAGTAGGTGGTAACAAAATGTTCTTGGCCTGCATAAGAGTGGCAAGTGGCTTCGCATATAGGCTATATGGGAAAAATATGTGGAGATATTTGCAACGGCCTCTCTTCACAATACAGCCAGCACTGTCCGTGCCCACCATCCACGGGTATTCGGAGACTTACATAAGGACGCAAGACCCCTCCCATTTGAGGTAACGGTGTTTGGCTTTCAAAACTCCGTTTGAACTGCGACTCTGCCTTGTAATTCGATAGTTATGGGCGTTGTATGATCATTTGCCGTCGATGCGCTCTTAAACTCTAGCTCATCCTTAATAGCGCAAGACCAACGGATGGGTGTAAGTCACGTGCGTAACGTATGGCTCCTATCTACACCACGAGGCACTCTTCAAGAGCAGCCATTTCTTGGCAGCTCGATCGGTCAGGAAAGCCCAGAAGACAACCGTCGATATGGCGGGCTCAAGCGCTCTCCGCACGCGCCGCGGACCTCGGCGGTAGGTGCGATTCGCAGAAGAGCCCTGTCACCGACGTGGTGTGCCGATGAGTCAGAGATCAGGCGGTACGCACACCGCCCGTCCGCGCCCAGGACATTGTGACGCAAGCATCCACAGAGGCCACTGACAGGAAGGAACGCGCGGTTCGGTCCAGCTGGTGCTGCCTTATCTCGTGCGCAGATGGTCAGGATCCCGCGCGTGAGACCGCGCGCCTCTCGCGGTGGTCCGTCCCTCGCCATCCGGCGATCTCCCTTCTTCGGGGTACTCGTCAGCCCTTCTTCCTCCCCTCCACGCCCGGTGACACCTCGGGTTCCTCATTAGCCTCTTCCCCTGGTCCGTTGATGCAAAGAACACTTCCCTCTCCCGCGAATATTTGCCTCACGCGATGACTGGCCGAGAAAGCAGAAATTTTGGCACCGGCCAGGGAGCTGCAGGGTCATCAGGGAACTAAAAGTATGCTGAACAATCTCGGTGATTGCGGGATCACGTGGTTATTGCAGCCCAGCCAGGTGTTTCATTGTCAGCACCAACGAGATCAGGCCACAACAACAGCGGCTCCGCAGGAGAGGGATATATAGACTTGTGATGGAGACGCTCAGGCTTTTGAGATACCACTTATCAGAGCAGTCTCGGAAAAGTACATTCATCCGCAATATATACAACAAAAAAATCCACTCGATGTCAGGAGTCAGCACCAACAAACGTCTTTAGCCAGGCAAGATTAACGCAGAATGTGACAGTTGTCTAGCGAATGCGAACGGCTTGAAAAAAAAAACGCTTACTTGGGCTCCCAGCACTTTACAACACAGGGGCAGCTGTATACCACGCACCTTACGTGATTTGTAAATTAAATTATCGGCTTGGCAGATCATGTAACGTTGCATAAAGCACCACCACGGACATGAGCTTCTGATCGCACACAAAAAGTTCCACGTTTGCACGCACACGAAATTTCGCAGCATTTTTCGAGCCGCCCATTTAAAAGTCCCCCAGACATGTGTGACACAATACAAATGTCAGGGGAGTATGTCATCTCATTGGCGGTATCGCGCTCATCGTCAAAACAAATATGGCGCGTGCAGTTTTCGTGTTTGGAGTGATCCAGCACCAAGTGTCACAGCAATTGAAGGTAAATGGGTGACGTAAGTTGTTCAACTAAGTTACGGGAAACATTACGCATCTTGATAACTTTGCCCTTATAGCCACGAATATCAGAAGTTCATTCAAAATGAGACAAAATAGAATATTAAATGCATGGCTTATATTCGTTTTGATGAATGCATGTAGCCAAAATATCAGCACCTGTATATTTCCTCTCTCCTGGTCATTCTGCGAGGATTAAGGCTAACGGCACTGTCTTACAGATATACAGAAGATATATAAGCAGGCATCATATATGACACAATAAGCTCACTTGTAAGTACTCGTTTGATTTTAAGGAAAAAAGTCTGCTCTTGACAACCAAATTTTGATTTTTACTAAATATGTGCCTAAATACGTCCTCGTTTGATCGGGCCATGAGAAGTCTTTATGACGTCAGAGTCACCGCCACACTGGCTGTGTCAGAATTGCCACCGTAGCGGAAGGGCAAAATCGCTCGTACTTTAAGCTGCCGTGAAGTGGGGGTGTTTGCTGGTGCGTGTTTCTGAACCCGAATATCGTGAGGCGCGCGTATTTTGAGCGTTTCTCGTGGTGTTCTTGACTCTTTGTCCGTTACTTTCTATACTTGCAGTCAGCCAGACGAATATGGCGTTTTTCTGAAGCTATTCAATTTTCAGTCTCATTTATGTCATAAATAGTAACTTAGTGATGCATCACACAGGGCCTGCGGAACTTTGCCAACGTGTTTGGCATGCTTCTAGGGCGGAAGAAGGCGCTGCAGACCCCAGATGCGACCAAGATTATTCGTGCGCTGCAGGCCCCAGATCTCATAGAGCGCCGGTTAAAGGGAATGCTCCACATTTGGAGGCATTGAAACGAGCACCACATGTGATAAGTTCACTAACAACCCTTGGCACACTTTTAAATGGAATAGACTTACCTACATAGCACAATTTCTCTTTTCAGCAAATACGCTCCTCAGAACGCTTTTATTTGTTTTCGTCATGGCACGTTTCGCGTGACATAAAGGTGCTGCCAAACTGGTCGCGAGAAATTGCCACCCCAGTGCTGACTTGTGCTTTAATCTCCCGAGCGGCGGCCCCGTGGTGGTGCTGGAGGTGTTCGCTGAACAAGTATTCGCCCTTGTGGTGTACTTGCATAAAGGTATTTACTAGTATTCACATACATGGTTATGACGTTATCCTAAAAGTTCGCGGCAGTGCCCAGAGTTCCGATAGCCCGCTAGCGTCGGGTTATAACCGTGTTCGTCTGGACGAAATTCCGGCAGCTCGGCGCCCGCAGTCTGCGCGCCGGCTACGTCACCTGTTTTGGGAGGGGGGAGGGGGGACCTGGCCCGGGCCAGGCCGTGCGGCGCGCCAGCGTCGTACCGAGCCAGTCGGTGCTGCCACTCACGGTGGGGGTGTTGCGCTGTGTTGCCGGGACCGTGTGGGCGTCGCGAGCTCCTAAGCAGGCAGCGCGGGCAGCCGTAGGGCTTCTGCGTTCTGCGCTGCTCCGACGGACGACGCTTCTGCTGGTGTAAGCTGCAGCTTAGGATCTGCACGGGCGACGCTTCTGCTGGTGTAAGCAGCAGCCTAGGATCTGCGTTCTACGCGACTGAAGGTAGGGGTCACGATGCTCGGCTGATTACAGCTGTTGAAATTTATTGGGAGCCTTGCACGATGATTATTCCGAACTGTTCGGCGTATGGGGCGACTGCACGTAGACATTGGATCCTGAGACCGCCGTAAGTATTCGGAGCAGATAAGGTTTCTCGGAATACTTAGACCTGTGTCTCGGTGGTGCTCTTGACCATTATTTTAGTGGTCCGTGCAAGGTTAAGGGATGAGTGCATACCATTTTCTCCCCAACAGCTCCCTGCCCCGCTCTTCATAACGGCCTACATGCTATAATCGGATCCCTTGATTGCTGAGCTGACGACCGCAGGTTTAATTACCGCCACATGTTCAGTGACTAGAGCTCGGTACCGTGAGGTCTAGTCAATATAGGGTTCGAAACAGGTTCGCAAGAAGGAACGTCATTTTGCGGGTGAATCTTCCGATAATAGGACTCACTTGTGGCCCAGTGCTTACTGTCCCCGAGAAGACAGCTTTGACGAAATATTTCGAAATTTTCGACCGTATTGCAATGCGGTGTATCGCAAGATTTGTATTTCTGGTTCGATATGGCCCACACGTTAAACATTGCTCTGTGTTGGAATGTTCGTACCTTACCCTGTCCAGATTTTGGTCTCACTTTTCTTCCCCGTTTTTCCCTGTCTCTGTCTCTGTCTCTGCCTCTGTCTCATCTCTGTCTTTGTTTCTGTCTCTGTCTCTGTCCCCATCCCTGTCCCTGTCCCTGTCCCTGTCCCTGTCCCTGTCCCTGTCCCTGTCCCTGTTCCTGTCGCTATCTGTCTCTGTATCTGTGTCTTTCTCTTTCTCTGCCTTTGTATCTGTCTCTGTCTTTGCCTTTGTCTTTGTCTCTGTCTTTGTCTGTCGCTCTCTCTGCCTCCGTTTTTATGTCTGTCTCCTGTGTCTTTGTGCCATCTACGATTGTGTCCTTCTGTCTATCTTGACGTTTTACAAATAATGCAAGCTCCTCCGTAGCCAAATCTGCACTTCTATTTTCTAAGGCGTGGTGCATCAGCGACCCTTCGAAATGTTCATTGATGATTCACGTTGAGGTCTGCGGCGTTCTGCCGCTGACAGTTTGTTTTGTTGAAGCTGTTAAAATGCAAACAGCCGTGGAATTTGCGCGAAACGTTTCGTTAGTCAAGTAAGTAATACAGAAATGATGAAATGTATGCTCGGTTTTAGTGAAATCGAAATTGACCATGTAGCTCATCCCCGACATTGCAAATTAGCTGCGACTTTCATGCCATTATTTTTGCTAAGGTGAGTGCGTTATGTGGTTTACTTCAAAGGATGGGGTGAACCTATGTCGTTACGCAGCTCATGAGCTCGTACTGTATAACACTGGCGTTCCTCCACAGTTTTCGGTTACCGTTGCATTTTTCAACCATCATGCACACCAACTATGAGTGCTGTGTAAGAAAACCGACGTTTTTCACGTCTCGAAATCTCTTCGCATTGTTCATATTGATATCAAGACGCCTTCGCCGTTCAGACCACTTGTACGACTAGGCAAGACCTGTGCCTTCCCGTGTCGTCCTGTGTAAACAGATGGAGGGGCGGTAACCAGGGGAAGGGTGACTGCGTTTGCTGTGTCGGGCCGTTTCGAACCAGTCGATGCGTGGGGTCAAGAAAGGCGGACGGCGGAGACCAGTTATGTACAATTGTTGGCAGAGTCGGCTATCATTAGTGACAGTTGAGAAGAGAGTCATTTAGTCGGTACTGGTTACCGTTGCATTTTTCACCATCATGCACACCAACTATGAGTGCTGTGTAAGAAACCGACGTTTTTCACGTCTCGAAATCTCTTCGCATTGTTCATATTGATATCAAGACGCCTTCGCCGTTCAGACCACGTTGTACGACTAGGCAAGACCTGTGCCTTCCTGTGTGCGTCCTGTGTAAACAGATGGAGGGGCGGTAACCAGGGGAAGGGTGACTGCGTTGCTGTGTCGGGCCGTTTCGAACCAGTCGATGCGTGGGGTCAAGAAAAGGCGGACGGCGGAGACCAGTTATGTGCGAATTGTTGGCAGAGTCGGCTATCAGTAGTGACAGTTGAGAGGAGAGTCATTTAGTCGATAATGGCCGTTCCGTTTGTTTGCTGGTGAGCGTGGCCATTTCTGCCTCCGGAGCCGGCCACACACGCTGAGCGTCCGATCCCGCGACCCGGGGTCTCCGGCGCACCACGCGGTGTCGACGCCGACAACGCTTCATGTTCCAGGGCTGAGGCCAGTGCTTTTGAAAAGGGTGTCGGTCGCATATCAGTGTTGGCGAAAGGGCAAAGAAATGCCAAAAAAGTGTGGCCAGCCCGACATCAGATCCCGTTGGGAGAATCACAGGCCAGAGCCAGTCGTCCCCGCGGCTTAGGCCTGGCTGGACTGTGCTTTGATTGTCGGAAGGATCTCACCTATGCCAGCACAGGAGACGTGCTTCAAGACGAGCACGTGGCTGTGATAGCCAAGCTCGGTGGGGCATACACTTAGCACTTTGCCCCTCAGTCTAGACCTCTCCCAATACCATAGACTAGTTTGGTGAACTACAAATGACATGCTGCAAGTACGACGGAGGCCGTTCTTAGACGTGATGGCAACATGGTAACCGCTGAGTGATCTAACGACATCTGCCGGCCGTTTGAGCTGGTCAGCAAGAAGACCGTTCACTTGGTTTATCTGCCAGTTGTAAGCAAACGAGCTTAATCTGCGGCAGAGTTGAAGGAGCTTGATAGTGTGACGCCTGGACCGCTGTCGTTCACAGGACCACCCGGCTGTGCGGTTGTGGGAGCAGTGCATGAGCCGCCTGTCGTCTAGTTTAGTCCTACCAACGACGACGTGGCCGAGATGACGGCAGCTGCGGCTGCAGACCTCAGCTCTGACCAGCGGATCGTCTGTGACCTGGCTGCCAGTGTCCAGAGCGTGACAGTTCATCTGACGTAGCGAGCCTTAGACTCTGGACGTTAAACCGCGGCAGGTGGCTTAGGCTCCCGCTCAATGATTTTTCTGACGTGTGTTGACAATATTTTTCTCGATTTAAATCGGCTTCCATTTTAAGACAAATGACAGCTTAGTGTATCATGAAGCCCTCTTTTTGACGATGATGAGTGGGAAGGGTGGAGAGATCAGAGCCCAGTTCGTTCAGCGTACTGAAAAAGGCCTCTGAGTCGCAGAACATGCTCGTCTGTTCGCGCTCAGCAGAACGCACGAGTAGACGGGAGCTCAGAGGCACCAAGCAAACCCCGCGTAAGATGGAATAATTCCGTGAACACTAAAACCGTGAAGGGAGCGGTAATGGGAGCGGTAATGTCATTTCTCAATTAACGGCTTGAGTAATGACAAATGACAGAAATGTTATGCATTGTGATCGGCTAAGCGGAGCGACGAGGATTTATGTACGGACCCCTGAATCACAAGGCTCGTACGCATGCAGCCAGACAGCAGGACTTTGCCTTTTCGACTGACCAGAGCGGTCACGCGCCACAGTGAGTTCCGTCTTTTCCCAAATTTGTTTCTGCCTTACCGATTTTTATACGTAAGCCTGGTGAAGGGGAGGGGGGGAGAGGGGGGAGGTGGATCGGAGCGGATCGCCCCACCGCTTTATGCAACTTTTGATCGTCCGTGATGCGTGATATTATGTCTGTTCAGGTGTCGAGCGTGAAACGTTCGCAACAGGTCAACGCCTGAAGCCGGCGGGTATGGCCCCTTGTGATGTTCCGTGTTTTCTGAAAAGCTGTGCGTCGCCACTACTGTTGGACGCCTTTCCCAATGCCTGTCCCTTATGGCAAGATGGGGTTGCCATCAAGTGATATGTTTCGTCGAGTTGATCACAAAACACATGCTTTAAGCCTTATTTCGGAGAAGAATAGGCGAACTGAGCAAAGTATGGTATAGGCTATCGACTGACGCAGGCTGCGTTGTTTATGTTTCGAAGATCTACTTTGAGAAGTTTAATAGCATGCTATTCGGCACCACATTATCGCCGGCTCGCCATGTTCCGCTACTAACACCGCCCTGCTGAGGAATGTTGTTTCATGAGTCTCTGCTGTCTCCAAGCCGTGCTTGCATCACATTAGTTGGCTTCATGACTGCATCTGGTTTCTCGCGTAACCAGTGCAGTACCGATTTCTGTTGAGATGCCGCCCGCGGCTGGTGCATGGCGCGCGCTCGAGGCCGTTTTTAAACCCACATATTTCATCAAGGTCGGCTTAACATGGTAACAGGAACCCACGAAGGGCAACAGCACGGCAAATTGGTTGCAATATAGGACAGATATCTCAGCAGCCAAGGGTAGCAGCGACATGAAGCCAGTACATGTTTGTACAGTAAAGATGGGGCTAGCGTATGATGCTAATCGGACGCCTGCGTACGGCTCGCATCACGCAGTCGGGAGTGAGCACCACAGATCAGGCGGCCTTCGAGCGCTTTCTTTGTTGTTTTTTTTTTGTCATACCACGGAAACCAGATCAGCTTAAGATGTAACTAATACGTAAGGCATTTGAAAGCGTGCTTTCCAAAACGTATGGGCTGCAATAGTTGCCCGGCTTACAATTTTCCCAGCAGTCGACAGGGATGCCAAAAAAATCTCTTTTTTTGCGGCAAGGAAATGTCAACGTTTTATTTTAGCCTATAAATGGCATGATAATATGGCTCTGGTTAATTTGCCTATTACTCGTGAATATCCATCGTAATTATGAGCGTTGTATGACCATCATGTCAAGGATTGCGAGGCGCATTGGATTAGTCGAAACTGCGTAAAATTTACGTGAGCTCACGAAGGTTCTTTACCGTCCGGCTCGTCTCAGCTGTTTACTGAAAGCCGGACGACAGCTTATGCGTGACGTCACGTATTGTCTTTACGGACGCGCAGACTCTTTTGGGCCTTTTTATCTCCCTGAGGCTTTGTCATGTCACGTATTTACTACGGATCGTTCCATAGTATGGATTAATGTTTGATTCGAGTCAATGGCTACAAATTACACGATAAAAACGAAGATGCGGC